GGGTTGGTTGGGTTGGTTGGGTTGGTTGGGTTGGTTGGGTTGGTTGGGTTGGTTGGGTTGGTTGGGTTGGTTGGGTTGGTTGGGTTGGTTGGGTTGGTTGGGTTGGTTGGGTTGGTTGGGTTGGTTGGGTTGGTTGGGTTGGTTGGGTTGGTTGGGTTGGTTGGGTTGGTTGGGTTGGTTGGGTTGGTTGGGTTGGTTGGGTTGGTTGGGTTGGTTGGGTTGGTTGGGTTGGTTGGGTTGGTTGGGTTGGTTGGGTTGGTTGGGTTGGTTGGGTTGGTTGGGTTGGTTGGGTTGGTTGGGTTGGTTGGGTTGGTTGGGTTGGTTGGGTTGGTTGGGTTGGTTGGGTTGGTTGGGTTGGTTGGGTTGGTTGGGTTGGTTGGGTTGGTTGGATTGGTTGGATTGGTTGGATTGGTTGGGTTGGTTGGGTTGGTTGGGTTGGTTGGGTTGGTTGGGTTGGTTGGGTTGGTTGGGTTGGTTGGGTTGGTTGGGTTGGTTGAATAAACCAGTATACAGGGTGCGGCAAAAGTTCTGAAACTTTTTTCAAACGACTGTATAAAATTTCAAAAACATTATTTGGCTCACTTTTTGTTTTTTAACATTTGTTCCTTATTTTTTAACATTCCTTATTTTTAACAAGAAACAACGTTTTCGTTTAGGTTCGCTTTCAATATGGATGCTAAAAAGTAAGGCGCACTGTGATACTTGAGTTGCACAAAGCCGGAAAGATACCGGAAAGATTGTTCGAGTCACCGGATATCTGAAATCAGCGAATAGCCCCGATTTGAACCCCCTGGACTTCTCCATTTGGTCGATCTTGGAAGACAAGATCTCTGGCCAGAGATTTCACTCCGTGGATTCTTTGAAGGCCACTTTGAAGAGGGCCTGGGCTGAAATCACTGTTCAGCAATGCGCGACCATTGTCGGCAACTTCCGCAAGCGATTGAAGAAGTGCATCGAGGCCAAGGGTGGAGATTTTGAACAATTTTTATGATTTTTTGTTAGTTTTGTCTTCAATAAACAATTTGTTATCGTTTTTTTGATTCATATTGCCAAAGTTTGCAACTTTTAGAACTATTTCTCTATTTTGACAACTATTTCTCTTAGAAAAAGTGTCAGAACTCTTGCCGCACCATTACTTAAAAAGATTATATGAAACTTGTAATCAAAAAGTTTAAAATAAACAAAAAGATCGAAAAAACTTAATAAATACCGACTTAATAGAGAAAAAGACCGAAAATGAGGGTTAATGGTTCATTTGAAACCGATAAATGAACAAACTTCAAAAGAAGCAGTGATCATTGTTTTATTTGAGATAAAGTAGTGCCCCGTTATCTTGTTGAATCGCTTTCTGAACTCAATAAAAAGAAAATGGAATCAGTGTGATTTATTGTGTTCAAAGGTGAAAGATAGCTCCAATTTTCTGCAAAAAAAAAATTGATATAGACTCCAATGAAAATATTCGAAAACTGTTGGCTTGTTTCTAATGACTCAAAATTGACTCTAGAATCATTAAATTGTCGTTAAAGTCCAAAAATAGATACGATTTAGATGTTGGATGTTTTATTGTGTCCTGTTGGATGTCCTAAAGTACGCTGTGGGGTTACGGAAGCGTATGGGCGCATGAGTCATGACTAGAGTGTGCTCCTTGTTGACAGACAATTTGTCAGACAAAATTGCATTGACACTTTTTTGTCGAAATCCGAAAAACTCCGGAGAGGATGCCTGAGAAACGGCAACCACATCTAAGGAAGGCAGCAGGCGCGCAAATTACCCACTCTCAATTCGAGGAGGTAGTGACAACAACTAACGAGACTTTCGATGACTGCTCCCTTTGGGAACAGTCATCGAAATGGGTACAATTTAAACCCTTTAACGAGGATCAATGAGAGGGCAAGTCTGATGCCAGCAGCCGCGGTAATTCCAGCTCTCAAAGTGTATGTCATTATTGCTGCGGTTAAAAAGCTCGTAGTTGGATCTGAGCCTTTGGATACGGTTCACCTCTGTGTGATACTGGATCCGGGGTTAAATTCGTCGGTTCTCCGGCGAGAGTTACTCTGAATAAATCCGTTTTTTGATCCGAAAAACTTCCGACAACGCGTTTTCTAAAAGATGCGCTTTTTAAGCATAGCTATAAAAAGCAGCAAAGCTATAAAAGCTCAATTTTCTTAAAGAGTAGTAGAAGAAAAAGCGCAAGACATTTAATGTACATTTGCATTTTAAAAAGTTTGCTTATGCAAAGCATAGGGTTACGGTAGCTTATATTTGGCGCGCGCTTTTTTAGAAAACGCGTTGTCTGCAAGGAGCACACTCTATGCATGACTAACGTCGCAATGTCGCGCTAACTTAACAGAGGCAATAGGTGATGAGGATAACGTGGAGAAAATCCGCAAAGAGAAAGTCGGAGTATTGACTATGACATGGTGCACATTTTGGGAATGACAAGGTGCACATTTTGGGAATGTTGAGTGCCAAGTTAGATGGTAAAAAGCTCAAGCCATATGTTCTTCCAAGGAAACGCGTGAATCCGAAGATCACCTCATCCAAGCCACCTCATCCAAGCCTTATCCGAAGATCGCCTCATCCAATGCTTTAAGCCAAAAGAGCTTTCCAATAGGTTGCTTAGTAGTTTTGTTGATATTTATTTGTTTCTGTTTTTAGAACTTGTAAAATTGAAGGATCAAGAAATCGCCTCAAGCTCGTTTGGATCAAGAAATCGTTGAATTGTTGCAAGGATTGGATAGTGCCGATGCTCTAGCTGAAGATGCAGACGAGGAAAGTGATGACTTATCTTGATGAGTGAATCTTTTCGATTTTCGTATTCCGTTAGATTTTATGGGCTAAATTATAACGTTTTGATTTGTTAAAATTGATTTATTTAAGTCATTCGAGTGAAAAATAGAATGACAGCCTCTAATAGAAGACGGATAATTTTCTAATAGATGATTTTTTAATAGATAATTTTCTAATAGATAATTTTGCTAATAGATAATTTCCAATACACCCTAGGGGGTATTGAAAAATAGAATGAAATGTCTTTCTAATACAGCTCATATCATTTTCCGTTTAGGGTAGATGTCTCCACAAGACACTAGGCTTGCTAGTGAATGACCGGTCGAACCACGTTCACTGTATCGAGGTTCAATTAAGAGCTCAAGGGATCTCAAAACCCGATTGAGTACAGGACTCTGTATAAACGTCTACTAACATGGTTCGATGCTTTTGTATTATCTGCGGAATCTCAGAAAACAATTAACTACGGGGAATCTTTTCCGTTCATTTTTCCCTTGACTTTGCTTTTACGGGATAGGCTGCTTTGCGCCAATTTTTTTTTGCGCAACTAGATCTTTTGCGCAACTCGCCATAACTTTCTTCTAAGTCGACCAATCTTTATGATTTTGGTGTCATTTTGTTACACTTCTTGAGATCTACAAAATGAAACCAAAACCATAAAGATTGGTTCACTTAGGAAAAAGTTATGGTGAGTTGCGCAAGTAGAATTTTTTTCTTCTATTTTTTTCTTCATTTCTATTCATTTCATTTCATTTTACTTGCGTTTTTCTGATGCGGTCGCGTTTGTTTTTGCAGGAAACAAAGAGGATAAAGCTAAGTTACATTTTTAACAGCATTTTCTGTGGCGGAAGCTTTGTTTGTAGAGTTTTTTAGACACACTTTTTTCCGGAAGGTCTGCTCCACGAATTTGATGCCAACTTAAGTTAAGTGGTTTTTATCATTTTCTATAGCGAAAGCTTTGCTTTTGTGACTTTTTAGTCGCGCTATCGCTATATTTATACATGCAAATTAGGAGGAGTACGGTAGTTTTACCACGCTTTAAAGCGCCAACCCAGGATTTTTTTTTGTCGGAAAAAGGTCGCAAGTTGCAAATACGGTCGACCCTCGTTCACTGTATCGAGGTTCAATTAAGAGCATTTCAAGCTCAAAGGATCTCAAAACCCGATTGACTATCTAGGACGCTGTATAAAAATCTACTAACAAGATTTGTCTGTGATTACAATCAGAACATGTTTGTTTCTCTTTTGTGGTGTAAAAAGGTTCAACTGTAACATATGAGATGTTATCCGATAATCCCTTTTACTTGCATGTTTAATCGACTAGACCATATTCCTGGAAGGAACATATTGGAATCATATTGAAATCATATTGGAACCATATTCCTGGAAGGAACATATTTGAACCATATTGGAACCGTATTGGAACCATATTGGAACCGTATTCCTGGAAGGAACATATTGGAACCTTATTGGAATCATATTGGAACCATATTGGAACCATATTCCTGGAAGGAACATATTGGGACCTTATTGGAATCATATTGGAACCATATTCCTGGAAGGAACATATTTGAACCTTATTGGAACCATATTGTAACCATATTGGAACCATATTCCTGGAAGGAACATATTTGAACCTTATTGGAACCATATTGGAACCATATTGGAACCATATTGGAACCATATTGGAACCGTATTCCTGGAAGGAACATATTGGAACCTTATTGGAACCATATTGGAACCGTATTCCTGGAAGGAACATATTGGAACCTTATTGGAATCATATTGGAACCATATTGGAACCATATTCCTGGAAGGAACATATTTGAACCATATTGGAACCATATTGGAATCGTATTCCTGTAAGGAACATATTTGAACCATATTGGAACCATATTGGAACCAGCTAAATTAAAGAAAAGTAATTCTTGCTTTTCTAACAATTTCCTAGTAAAAACTCTTAATCTTTATTGACTTACAACTTCTGAAATAAACACTTTTTTAAAAGAAAAATTGAAAAGAATCAAATTCTCTTGCTAAAGAAATTTGTGAAAGTGAATCAACAAATTTAAGAGCATTTTCGTAAAGTTAATCAAGAAAAAGTCAAAGGGCTTATCAGTTTATGAAAAGCTCATTATTTTTCTCTCAAAATAACTAAACATTTTTGTTTTCTTGCGAGGAAATTTGAAAAACCAAAACCAACTTTAACAAATGAAAGCATTATTTATTTTATTCTTCTTTTTCATTCAAATCTCGACTCAACCCAAAAATCCATCGGTAATCGTCCGTTTGAATCGACAAGGATGGGATTTTCTTAAAGATACCGTCTTGGATTTGGTAAATGAGTTTTAATGAGTCTTAAAATTAGTTAAAGCTTTCAAGAAAACTTTTTGATTGATTGATTGATTGATTTTTAGATGAAACGTCTCATTCCAACGCTAAAAATCCCAGCCGGTCAAACATGGGAAATGGGACATGTGAAGGTGACTGTTAAAGGAGGGATCATTGATGGAATCAACACGCCAATGTGAGTCATTTTAAACTAACAACTGTAGACGTTTGTTCTGAATTTAAACAATTGAATTTATCAAGTAAATTATTACCGTAAATACTGTAATAGTACCCCACCGCCCTCGTACAGTCGCGTAGTCGCAAAAGTCGCAAAAGTTTTTTCGTATTTCATTTTTTTCAAAGCGTCCGTACTTTCAAAAAATGCGGCTTTGGTATCAAAAAATAGCTAAAAATCAGGGCTATTTTTTGATATCTAAACGAGCATTGTAGCGTAAACCAGTGTCGAGAAAAACTTGTTCAAAGCTAGACTACGCGATGCTCCGGCCGTCATTATAAAAGGATGACGAGAAAAATGCGTTTAAAGTTAGACTACGCGATGCTCCGTCTTTGTTATCAAAAAATAGCTGAGATTCAGGGCTATTTTTTGATATCAAAGCGCGCATTGTAGCATAAACCAGTGTCGAGAAAAACTGGTTCAAAGCTAGACTACGCAACACTCCATACCGTCATTATGGGGGTAGGGTCCAATTACAGTATTTACGGTAGGTTATTAAGTCTTGCACCCAAATTCATTTTCTAATTGAATAAGTCTAAAGCTATCAAATAAAATACGGTTTTTTTTCATTCCAATCGATAGTCCAATCATTTCTCTTGCAAATCACTTTTGAAAGTTTCTCAAAAGCTTTTTTTGAAGGTTTTTCATTAGCAAGAAGTTAAGGGTTCAAAAAAGACAAGATCCTATGACACGAGCCATACACTATTCGACTCAGAATTTTACGCTGATTCCGAATCTGCTTTCCGTTTCTGCTAAGGAGCACTCTGTTAATAGTTACAAGCTCGCAAAGTTTTGTATGGGATTTCAAAAAACACTCCGAGTTTATAAGCAGATCTCCTTGAAGCTGAAGAAACAGGCTTGAAGAAACAGTGGTGGTTGAATGTCAGTGGGTTAAGATACAAGATAAAGCCTCTCTAGTTCGAGTCCCCCATCTACTTTCTTGTTTTGGTTTTTTGCTGATTTACAAAGTTAAATGTTCTCCTTTTCAAATAGAAGTTTATTTAAAAATACTTTTCATAAAAATGTTTACTTTTAACTACATTAAACAGCTATCATTAAAAACTAAAAAAAAAACTTTGCCAATGATGACAACGTTGATGAAAAGATGAAAAGGGAAAAGCATATAGCAGAAAAGCTCTTTGCCAAGCACAAGCAGAAAAGCACAAGCAGAAAAGCACAAGCAGAAAAGCACAAGCAGCCAAGCACAAGCAGCCAAGCAGCCAAGCACAAGCAGCCAAGCAGCCAAGCAGCCAAGCAGCCAAGCAGCCAAGCAGCCAAGCAGCCAAGCAGCCAAGCAGCCAAGCAGCCAAGCAGCCAAGCAGCCAAGCAGCCAAGCAGCCAAGCAGCCAAGCAGCCAAGCAGCCAAGCAGCCAAGCAGCCAAGCAGCCAAGCAGCCAAGCAGCCAAGCAGCCAAGCAGCCAAGCAGCCAAGCAGCCAAGCACAAGCAGCCAAGCACAAGCAGAAAGCTCTTTGCCTATCGCAAAGAGCCAAAGCCAAAGCCAAAGGCGCACAATTTGTATCCTCACAAGGAAAAACGTCAAATTTTGAATAAAAATTGTTTGGAGTATCGAATGAAACTCGCTCATTTTCATTTTAAAATAAAAATGTATTTGAAACGGAAAACAATGAACTTTGCAAATACAAAAAAGAGAAAAGTACAATGGAGAAGCTCGAACTAGAGAGGCTTTCTCTTGTATTTTACCCTACTACCACTTAACCACCACTGCTTCTTAAAGCATCTGGAAAATCTGCTTATAAAGCCAAGGTGAAATCCCATACAAAACTTTACACGCTTATAACTATTAACAGAGTGCTCCTTAGCAGAAACAGAAAGCGGATTCGGAATCAGCGTAAAATTCTGAGTCGAATAGTGTATGGCTCGCTTGATATTCCTTTGTTAGCAACAAAATTCCAGCCTCAACTACACCCTCGACAATCACCAAATGACGATCACGATGAATAGATTGTACTTGACGGCGAAAGTTTGGTTCAAAGCAAAGGCACACTATATTTTCCCAGTAAGATGATTAAAAGTTAAATTTTATAAAGATAAAATTAGATCACGACATCTGGTTGGATCGGTTTGCGAATAAACAACGTGAATGCAATTGGATCGGTAAATGTGTCGTTGATCGATGAACGGCCACATCTTGTGCTTAATAATTGTGCGAACAGTGTGCAATCTGTTTTAGTTACGTGAGTTATTTAGTTTTACTATTTTTACTAGTTTTACTAGTTAACTAGAAAAATAAATGACTTATTTCATTTCTTTTTCATATTTTTCAGACCTCATTGCCGAAATGCTTGGGCTTATCGACCATTTTTGGGGATAGCTGAGGACGCGGCAAAGAAAATGCTCAAGAAAAGTGTGAGTTAAACATTAAACTTTAAAGATATCTTTAAAATGTTAATATTAGGTGTGTGAAAAAGTAATCCACGTTTTTAACGTTTATGCGGTATCCATTTGTCCAACTTTTTGATAAAATTCATGGCATTCAAGCGTTTCCTTACGGTTGACCCATCACAATTTAATGTAAGGCCTATTTCTGAAGAGGTTGAACGAGGGTTTTCGAGAAGACAGCGTCTTATTTGGTCATCCGAACAGGTCTCAGGGCGACCGCCACGTGGTTCTAGGCTTTCATTACCACCTTTGAATCGTCGGAACCAAAACCTAGCGGTATCATCAGTAACGGCGTCTTCGCCAAACGCATTCCGAATTCGACGTGCAGCCTCCGCAGCTTTCAACCCATTTTTGAACTCATAAAGCAAATTTGACCGAATAACGATACTTGTGTATCCAAACTAAATTGAAAGTAGTTTATTGTCGTCCTTTTAACAAAAGGAATATATCATTCGAAAGAGGAAAAAAATAGAACGATATATATATCGTTAACATCGTAAACGATATATATGTCGTAGCCGATTATGAATTTCAGCCGATTATGAATGAGCGGGTCCGAACGCGTCCAACCATCAAGTATTTGGTATCATTCAACGCAGAATCATTAATAATTATGTTAAATTTTTTAAATTAGAAAGATTGGATAAAAAGAAAAAAATTATGGGGCCTCAAAGTTTCCTCTTGAACAAACAGTTTTTTTGCTCTAATTTTTTTTCTTTTTATCAAATCTTTCTAATTTTAAAAATTTAACATAATTATTAATGATTCTGCGTTGAATGATACCAAATACTTGATGTTTGGACGCTCCTAGACCCACTCATTCATAATCGGCTACGGGGGTCCCGCCGATTTTGAATGAAACGTTGTAGCGCCGGTAATTTTTAACCTAAACTCACAAATTTGGTACCAATCGACGCAGAATTTAATTTCGCTACAGGAGGATATAATATTGTCCTCATACATTAAAGGGTTGCTCTACTAGAAAGATTTACCAAAAAATTTCATTCATAATCGGCTACGACATATACAGTCATGGACAAAAGTCTTTTAACATTGGTTTTTATTGGGTTGGGGAGAATGAGTCGGCGCCGAAAATCAAAAAAATGTCTAAAACTTCTAGCAGACTTCGTCAAATAATATACGTTTGATATCAGTAGAATGGTTAACTAATTCTCTACAAAATGACATTTAAAAGAAAATTCAAACAGCGCCTCCGCTCAAGAAAAAGCCATTTTTTTCACAAAAACCACAAACTGTCATCTAGAAAAAACCATTGGTGGGATCTTCCTGCAAATTTGGCAACTTAAGTAATTGAATGTGCTCTATCTTTTTTATATAAACACCAAAGAAGGTTTATGTGAAAGAAACTGTTCAAATGATGAGTCGGACTCTTTGCCATTTTAACCAGCTGCGTTTGGAAGTTCATAAACTCCACGAAAGAAAAGCTTTGTGGAATCTCTCAAAAGTCATTTTGTAGAGAAATAGTGGATCCTTTTGATGAAACCAAACGTATGTTTAAAGAAGGCTTTATGTGTGCAAAAAGTCCCTTTAAAGTTCGGCGCCGACTCATTCTCCCCAACCCAATAGAAGTTTGTTCTTTGTATATCTTGGTCCAAATCCGAGCAATTTGCAAACGGTTAAAAGATTTAAAGAGCTTATTATCTCTAATTTTAACATTACAAAAAGATGGATTTAACAATTTATCAGGTGTCATGAACTTTTTAATAAAACAAAAATTGGGCCAAAAATTGATGGACAAAAGTCTTTTAACATGTGAGAAAAACATTATGAAATCAATACTTAGTAGGTCCTCCGCGAGCCCCCATTACTGCTTGAATTCTCCTTGACATGCTGTCAACCAGATCACGTAGAATTTGGGGTCCAATAGTTGTCCAGACTCTACGGATGAAGTACCAAAGCTCCACTTTTGATCCGAATAGTTTCCCTTCAATTTCGACTTCACAAACTTCACAATCGTTCGGCCAATCTTTATGATTTTGGTGTCATTTTGTTGCACTTATTGAGATCTACAAAATGAAACCAAAACCATAAAGATTGGTTCACTTAGGAAAAAGTTATGGTGAGTTGCGCAAAAAAAAATTGCGGAAATTAGCCTACCCCTTTCTGATGAATAAAAGACAAAAGGATAACAAATAGAACGTTTAAGAGGCTTCTCCCAAATTTTAAAGTATTCTGAAGTTGAGTATAACTTTAGAATCACTCGTACGCGTATAAAACGATATATATATATATATATATAACAAATAAACGATATATATATCGTTAACAAAAAATTAAAAATTGCTTAGATATATTTATTTAAACAAAATAAAAATAAAAAACGTGGATTACTTTTTCACACACCTAATAGTTTAGATTTGTACATATCTGCGAATGGGAATCAATCAAATCAATACTCAACTTTCCACAATTCCACTACAGTTTTCCCTCGGTTCAAACTTCACCCTTGACTACAGCTTTGAAACGATAAAATTTGATCCGTTTGTTATTATTAAATCATTTTAATTAGCTTAATTTAGAAACTACTCAGAGACGGCAATCAGTGGAACAGTTTTGTATGGAAACGAGCGTTGTTTGATCGAACCGAGTGAAATGGATAAAGGTTTCTTTCTTTGTTTCTTTTTTCTTTTCTCTTTTCTTTCTGGCTTCATTCTTTGCATCATTTATTGATTTTTATGGTTATTTTGATAGATACATTTGATAATTTTCATTTACTATTAGGTTGGCAACTTAATAATGACGCCTCACTACTTAACATGTTTTTTGTAATTTCAAGCGCCGTTTCTTCCCTCTTTTTTTGCATATATACAAAGGAAAAGATGTCTACATAAATAACATTTAGTGCTCCAAATTTCAACATTTGCTTTTTTGGCAAAAAATGGAGGACAAAAAATTCCGTATTCGAGCTTCATTGTTCTACGATTTTAAACAAGGAAAATCACCAGCTGAATCTCATCGCACGATCACCACTGTTTTTGGGGAGGAAAGTATACACATTCGGCAATGTCAACGATGGTTTCAAAGATTCCAAGGCGGCGATGAAAGCCTCGTAGACGAGCCACACCAAGGACATCCTCCAGAAGTGGTCGACGATGACTTGCTCGCCTTAATTGAAGACTGCCCAACACTCACCGTTCGTGAGTTGGCAGAAATATTTGAAGTATCCCATATGACAATCGAAAACTATTTACACAAACTTGGGAAAAGAATCGAGTTGGAAAATGGGTTCCTCACGAACTGACCCAAAGCAACAAAATGTCGCCTCAATTTTGCTACAAAAATGTAAATCAAACGACTTTTTCACAGGGTTTTGACTTCTGACGAAATGTGGATCAACTACGAGAACGTTAAACGCAAAAATCAATGGCTATCTGCTGGGCAGACCCCTTAAACCACTCCCAAACCTGATATCCATGGGAAGAAGATAATGCTCTGTTGCTGGTGGAACTTCAAGGGATTGGTGCATTATGAAGTGCTGAAACCTGGCCAAACCGTCGGTGCTGATCTTTATTCGAAGCAATTAATGAGAGTTAACGAGTCTTTGAAGAAATTGGGGCTCAAACCGGAGAGAGTCAGATTTTTACACGACAAAACCTCACACTGCAAAGATCACTTATAAGAAAATCGAGGAACTTGGCTGGAAAGTTTTGCCCCACGCGTCTTATTCACCTGATCTGGCTCCTTCAGATTACTTTTTGTTTCGGTCGCTGAAGCACTTTTTGGAGGGAGAAAAGTTCGATGATCATGCTCAGGTCATAAAAGCAGTGAATGACTACTTCGCCTCAAAAACTCCCAAGTTCTTCGAGGATGGGATCCGGGATTTGCGCAGAAGATGGGAAGAAGTCATAGATACTAATGGAAAATACCTTTCGAATTGAAAGCTCTTCTTTTGTGTTTTTTTGAAATAAATGATTTGTTACATAAACGTGTCATTATTAAGTTGCCAACCTAATAAACTAAACCCTTAGCCATGTAAAATTTATAGATTTGAAGTGTTTTGAGTTTTTGTAGACAAAAACCCCGATGTAATATATTAGTAAACAAAAATTACCAAACGTATCTATCAAAATGACCATAAAAAGCAATAAGTGATAGTAAAATCGGTACAGTATAAACATGAGAACTATAAACGAGAAAAATGACGGCCTGTCAAACTACAGACGCTTCTAAACTGCTTTAAATCGAAGCGATCAATTCAGGCTATAAACCACTGTAACTGAATTGATCAATTGTGATGCACTAGAAAGAGTGTGCTTTGGGTTTATTTGTGAAGTGTTACACTTTGGACACTAGAAACTACAAAAATGACGGCCTGTCAAACTACAGACGCTTCTAACTTCCTTCAAATCTACCAGATTAACATGATCTATAGCTCAAAAAATAGAGAATCTCAAGAGCTTTCGAATGGATTAAAGCACACTTAAAAATATCAATTCTAAATAAAGTTACAGAGGTTTGACTGAGAACGGACTGGACTAGTGCGTAGTTGACTACAAACCACTATAACTTTCTTTAGCATTTCTATTTTTCAGTGTGCTTTAATCCATTCGAAAGCTCTTGAGATTCTCTATTTTTTGAGCTATAGCTCATGTCAATCTGGTAGATTTGACAGAATTTAGAAGCGTTTGTAGTTTATAGTGCTCATGTCTAGTGTAATTAGAAAAGGGGGAGGTCTAGTGTAATTAGAGGAGGGGCAGAATGTACACAGCTAAGCACTCTAGCAGAAAACTTCAGGCCCTTTACCCCAAACAATGGGTCAAGTGTGGGTGTCTGAGCAGATTGTCAACTGTATCTTCCGAAGTGCTCATCAAGGTGCAATCATTCAGTACACAATCACAAAAGATGTTCAAGGAGCGGCTCCATATTTGAGGACACAGTATGCCTATTTGTTTTCATCAACTCATTTACTTAGCATTTCTTTAAAAGAGTTTTTAGTTGTCCATTTAAAGCGTCAAATGCCGTGTGCATGGGTACATTTTGGCCTCAATTAGATGAGAAATATCCAAAAGAGTACATTGATGTACATATGCATTCATTCGAGGAACCAAATGTAAGTTTGTAAATGTTAAAAAAGGGAAAAACGCTTATTTGTTTGTTTAAAGTTGAAATTGTCAATGGGGAATGCTCGATTTCGTGGCTCTGTACTCTTGGACTTTTATCTGAATCCGATGGCGACGACGAAGGATTCCCTCGTTACAATGAGTTTGTTTAAACTGTTTTTAACAATACGTTGAGGAACAATAGGTTGAGGAAAAAATAATGCGCGTTTTTTTCGCAACAAATTTCGCATTCGGGAATTGAAATTGACTTCAACCTTCAACTCACGACACTCGTTTGATGCTTGATTTAGCTTGCAGAAATGTTTGATGCTTGATTTAGCTTGCAGAAATGTTTGATGCTTGATTTAGCTTGCAGAAATGTTTGGTGATGATCAGAAAACAATCGACAACCATTTGCACCAACTCGGGAAAGAAATTTGCTGTGGAAAATTGAGTCCCGCACAAACTGACTCGTGTCAACGTCAGTTCTTTTTTATTTCATAAATGCAAAGCTGGCTTTTGGGATTCGATTTTGACATCTGATGAAACGGATTGACTACGAGAATTTCAAAAGGAAGAACAAAAGTCTATCTACTCGGCACAAAGCTATCTACCGGACAAAAGGCTATGTTAAAAGGCTATATCAAAAGGCTATCTACCGGACAAGCCTGATATTGCTTCGTTGCTTCGTTGCTGGTAGAACTCAAAAGGTTTTGTGCACTGTAAGCTAATCCAGGAGAGAGTTGCTGTTACTTAAAGTTGCTGCTGATCTCTATTCAAAACAATTGACTAGAGTTAACGATGCTTTAAAGAAATTGCGGCTCAATCGAAAGATCTCAATCGAAATTTTTGCATGGTAACGCGAAATCCCACATTGCAAAAGTCACTCACAAAAAAATTGACGAGCTGGGCTAGAAGTAGAAGAAGGGCTAGCCTCATGCACTTTACTCTTCTGGCTTAGCCCTTACTTTTTCTTTAAATCCCTGAAACAGTTGCTCATGGGAGAAAAGTTCGATGATCATGCTCAAGTCAAAAAAGCTTGTGAATTATTTTGGCTTCAAAAATCCCTAATTTTATATAAATGAAATCAAGATAGGAAGATGGGAAAAATGGAGAATACCGATCGATCAAAATAGAGAATACCTTACTGATTGATAGTTGTTATTTCTTGCAGAATGAAATAAATTATTACACCCAAAAAATGCGCATTATTTTTTTTCCTTAACCTAATACAGTCATGGACAAAAGTCTTGGCGGCTCCTGGGTGGCAACTTTCCAACGCAAATTTAGGAACCTTTCCGAGAGGCTATAAAAAAGTTGTCACAAGTATTTTTGAGCATTTTTACTCTACTTTTAGCTATGACAAAGCATTGAACTCGAAAGTTTATTTTAGACAACAAAAATCATAGCTAAAAGTAGAGTAAAAATGCTCAAAAATACTTGTGACAACTTTTTTATAGCCTCTCGGAAAGGTTCCTAAATTTGCGTTGGAAAGTTACTACCCAGGAGCCGCCAAGACTTTTGTCCATGACTGTATATTATTTTTTTTTATTTGTAAGTATTCTCTTGTTTTCTTTCCAAAAATTGTTTAATAGATTGCTTTAGAAATCACTTCTGAGTCCTCGGTGGTAATCAAAGTTGATGGAACTCGTCTGAATGGTTATTTAAAAGATACGACAGCTGAAATCGAACAGATTCATTCGACTATTGGAGATATTGAGCCCGGGTGAGTATCTTGAAATAAAGTTATTCTAGATTCTATATAAAGTCATTCTAGATCAATCACCTCATTTCGGAATCTCTTCGTTTCAGTGGAGGAGATTCTTTTGAATGGTTTACTACGACAAGGAATTCCGATTCCAATCTTTAAAGAAGCCGCAATGGCACTAGCTGGTAAAGAATTTTTTGTTTAATAACTTTCTAACTGTTTAACTTTCTAACATCCAGAGTTGCTTTTTAGGTAACTCGACCATCAATTTACTCAATGATTTCGTTCGAATCGATGCCAATTTCATTCATCAGCCAATCAAAAAGACAGATTAGTTTCTGTGAAAATTTCTTGATTAAGCTTTTCGAAAATTTTATGTAAAAACGATTCACATGTAATTGATTTCCTTTATCATCTCATTATAGATGTCATAGTCAATTTTGAATGCAATTTTTTTGGTAAACCTTTCTATTGGGTTGGTGAATTGAAAACTGCCGGCTATTCTCATATGTGATAGTTTGAGGACTTTCTTCAAAAGAAACCCATTTTGGTGTCAATGGAAAAGTTGTAGAGAATCAAAAATGAAGCTTATATCCAAATTTTCAGAACGATTCAAAAACTGGTTTTCAAGAAATGCCAAATCTACGAATTTTCACAAATGAAATCGCGGAAAAGGAGGGGGAGGGGACGGGAGGGGGTTACGGTATCTGTCTGTCTTTCTGTCTGTCTTTCTGTCTGCCTTACTGTTCGGGCATTTTTTCAGCCGTATTTTGACCAATATTTCATTTTGCATGAATTATTATATTTTAAGTTGTTTTTGGTGTCATTCGATGCGTAATTTCATTCTGCATCAAATGATCGTTAAAATAGTCAATATATTGGGTTGGTGAATTGAAAACTGCCGGCTATTGTCATATGTAACAGTTTGAGCACTTTCTTCAAAAGAAATCCATTTTGGTGTGAATGAAAAAGTTGTAGAGAATCAAAAATGAAGCTTATATCCAAATTTTCAGAACGATTCAAAAACTGGTTTTCAAGAAATGCGAAATTTACGAATTTTCACAAATCTTGCATTTTAAGCGAAACTACTAAGTGTATCTTTTTGGAAATTTGGCTTTTGCGCTGCAAACCAAAAACGAAAATTGCGCCGACCAATTTTCACCTTTGATCTTGCGGCGCAAACTTTGTTTTACGAAGACGGCCCAAATTTTGCAGTGCAAAATTCGGTGGTGCAAGAAACTTGCGCAAAATCCAGCAGCGCAATTTTCCTTTATCGCTTGCGGTGCAAAATTCGCTCGGCGCAAATTTCGTGTGCTCAAATTTCGTGACGCAACCGTGATGATCTCTATTTGATGGTTGGATGCGTTTAGACTCACTCATTCAAAATCAGTTACGACATATAAGTCCGTGTAACAGAACAAGTCTGAAAAGCATGTTAGCATCAAAATCACAGAATAAATTGATAGATTTTGGATAAGAAATCTAATTTAAAGCCATCGCTGAGAGATAATAAAGCTTGATTTTGAAAGAAAAAATTGATTGAAAGAAGAAAAGAAGAAACATTTTTGAAGTATTGACTTTTTGAAGAATTGTTAGAATTGTCAATGATTCGATCAGATGTTACATCTGAAAAGATCTCTTTTAGATTAGCTTTATTGAAAAGATGAGTATGTTTTGTTTTAAGATAGCTACCGTAAATACTGTAATAGTACCCCACCCCCCTCTCGTACAGTCGCAAAAGTTTTTTAGTATTTCATTTTTTTCAAAGCGCCCGTACTTTCAAAAAATGCGTCTTTGGTATCAAAAAATAGCTGAAATTCAGGGCTATTCGTTCCAAGAAATTCGTTTCAAATTCGTTCAAAGCTAGACTACGCAACACTCCGCACCGTCATTATGGGGGTGCGGTACTATTACAGTATTTACGGTAGCTTAGTCTGTTTCGGTTTCACGAATCTGATCCTTACTAATTGTAAGACTTTGTCGCTAGCTAGCAATTCTATGTCTAGCTAACAATTCTGTCTAGCTAACAATTCTGTCTAGCTAACAATTCTATGTCTAGCTATTGACTTTTTGAAGGATTGTCAATGATTCGATCGATCAGAATACATCTGAAAAGATCTCTTTTAGATTAGCTTTATTGAAAAGATGAGTATGTTTTGTTTTAAGATAGCTAACTGTTGATTTGAGTAGTTCAATCTAGTTAAAAAATGTTTTGAGTAAACCAACTGAATCTATCCATTCTTTGCCGCCACAGCAGATACTTGTTGAGGCCAAAATGAGGGGAGTTTTGCATAAGGATTGGGCAATTTCAGATTCGTCAGATAGACACCACCTGCGTGTTTGGCAATGGCCGTGTTCACGTCACCAGATACCTAAAATAAAAATAACGAACAGAACTTTTCAGCTGAACTCAGTTAAAGCTTGAAAGTGTTGAAACAAGAAGTTTTTGTTTAGTTGTCTAAATTCTCACCTGAGCCGCAGTGACATTGTATACAATATGAACAAAACGAGTGGTTGCATAATTGCCCATATAGGGCAAAGCCTTGTAAGCACCGTAGTTCCCCTGTTTGTCTTCGTAAACAACAAATCGATCGGCAACGGGTAGCTTGACGTAAGTCTCAGCAAGGTTGGTTCCCGGATTGTTCATCACCTAGAATATTTATTCTATAAATATGTACTATAAATTCTCTAATAGAAGCCTCCTATATGAGCATCGCGTGAGCTAAGTTTCTAGTCTAAGTCGTAGTCGTAGTTTAGTCTAAGTAGTAGTCGAAGCTTAGTCTAAGGAATAGTCGTGGCTTAGTCTAAGTAGTAGTCGTAGTTTAGTCTAAGCCGTAGTCGTAGTTTAGTCTAAGTAGTAGTCGAAGCTTAGTCTAAGGAATAGTCGTGGCTTAGTCTAAGTAGTAGTCGTAGTTTAGTCTAAGCCGTAGTCGTAGTTTAGTCTAAGTAGTAGTCGAAGCTTAGTCTAAGTAGTTGTCGTAGTCGTAGTTTAGTCGTAGTTTAAAGAAAGTTTTAAATTTAGAATGGTAAGACCCTCTGTGCACCGCAACGGAACGCAACAACCGCGACATTCAACTTCATAAGGACAATATCCGAGCGATTGACATTTTCAGACGAATGAACGTTGCCAAAAAAGTTTTATCAACCATTATTGCAAGATTCAAGCAATTGGAAGTCACTTCTGACCGTCGTAGAGAAAGCATGATCAACAAAATCATTATCAAGATAGTGCGTGATTGAGTCCGTTTGAACCCACATCACTCCGTTCGCAAAATGACCGCACAAATGAAGGTTTCAAAGAGCTCTCTATGAGTCGAAAGAAGTTCTTAAAGAATCACTTAATAGTCACTTAATCCATGGCCTTCATCTCAATCCGATGAATTACTCTTGGTGGAGTGTTCATGATGATGTTCATGATGAATTTTTCCTATTTTTTCAATCATTTTTTCTAAACCCTGGTTAAATTTAAAAATATGTGTTATATCTCAAAAAATCACCCATCCTTTCTACTTTAATTTAATACCAAAACGAATAAAAACAAACGTACTGGTGTCGAGTTATAAGGGTTTATTTGAGAGTAAACTTAGACTACGCGATGCTCCTACAGGGGGTCGTTTTATTAGAGTTTTTATTATAAGAATATTTCTACTTTCACACAATCAACACAATAATTCTGCTAGTACAGTGAAAAATTGTAAGTAAATTTGACAAAAACTATAATCCCGCCAACCTGATAACTAGCCGATTTCGCTTTGACGAACTTGTACAATGTCTGGTAATATGTGACAAGTGCCGGGGTGTCATCGTCGCTCATCTCATCAAAGAAGATCCCATCAATTGTGTAGAAAGAGAAATATTTGTTGATTTGTGCTTGAACGGTGGCCATCGCATTCTTCCCATACCCTGTGGCCACATAGCCGATCACTTTAGCCCCATTGGCTCGAAGTTTTGCGATGGCTGTCTTGTAGTAGCCGAAGGCTGATGAACCTGGCCCATCATCGGGATTCATGATCACAGTCAGGGGAACTGTTTTGGCACTGTTCGTCATCGTGTTCCAATCGGTCAACCCGCTATCCACTGGATCGAAATAGGCCGGCACGACGATGTCCGTTGATGTGACCTAAAGAACTCATAGATTTGAGTAAACAACTTTCAACTCAAATTCCTTGGTGTTGAGCTGTCCAATTGAAATAGTTTTTATACCAATCGATAGAGAAATACTTGGCGCATCTAATGAGATCAAGAAGATTGAAATTGGACAGCTCAACACCAAGATATTTAAGCTCAAAGTTATGGCAATGGGAAAGGAGCGGGGCGCGTATAAACGGTCCGTCGCCGCGCCACCTTTTGCCATTGGCAGTTTATGTTAATGGGGGAAACGCTTAATGTTTATTTTAGAGAATTTTGTTAATCTATAAACTTAATGAGCGCAATGAATTACAATAAATCCTCTAGTTTACCCACCGTGGCGATCAAAATACCCAACAATATAGCCATTGTATTTTGACTCATTTTGAGCGGACGATGCAGTGAATGGCAGTGAGTTGCGTATCAAAATATCCTTTATATAGTGTTCAATTGGGGATGGGGTATTTCAAAGATAATAACAAAAAAAAAATGCCCACGCAAATAGGCAGACAGATCACACGATGTGGTCACTGTACAAATAGAGCCTCTTTTCAGCTTATTCATTCTCAACATCATTTTAGCAGCATTTCCCCCCGTCCATTGAATACTTTGAACTCGCGTCAGTTCAAAGTATTCAATGGACAAAACCAAAATAATAGAATGGAGTTTGATGTGAGTGAAAAAAAAAGATTAGTCTGTGTATGAGGAAGAAAATATTTTCGAGAGGATCATTGACGATTAGCTCGTGTCGATTTTGTGAAATGAAACAATGCAATTCAACAATGCAACAATGCAATGCAATTAAGCGTGAAATCTTTGGTCCTTCTGATTCTTACGTTCATCAATTTACATAGTAAAATTTGCATACGAAAAGACAAATGCTTTGAAAAGATAAAAAAGAACATTTCTTGTTTTTACTTTTTAGTTTAGTTTTTAGTCTTCTACTTGAGCTTTTAAATGCAAAACGAGCGGCTTTTTATGTTAATTGTACGCAATACGCAAATGTGAGCGTCGTATGCTGCCTACTGCTGCTGCTACTACTACTACTGCTAATGTAGCTGCTAATGTAGCTGTTAATATAGCTGCTAATGTAGGCAGTATGCAAATGAATAGTCAAAGATCATTGGTGGATGTAAGAGTCACCGAATCTTTCTCTAATTTTTTGGATAGACTTTTTAGTCATACAGGTGACAGGTGAACTGTATGGATAAAATACTTGTCATTTGCATACCTGTCTAATGATAGGCAGTATGCAAATGGCTAGTAAGAGTCACCGAATCTTCTTCTATTTTTTGGGTACACTTTTTAGCCATACAGGTAACCTGATAGTTACTTTTTAAATAAACGAATTACAATAAGTTAAGCTTTTAACCATGTTTCACACGAAATTCGAAGTATTTTTCACACAATTTTTTTTTCAAGTTGACTAAAATACTCAACATTTTTTGACAAGAATTTATTTTTTGCTTTTCATTTAAGCTCAAAGAGTTCTATGAATCACTACCTATTGTTGTGGGTTTTTTTAAAAGTTTCGATTGACATTTATTAGAAGGGTTTTCTAAAATGAATTCCAAATTTGTGATTCTGATTTTTGTGACACTTTTATCCTATGGATCTGCTAAATGCAATGATTGTCAGAACGCTAATCTGACATTTCAACAGACTGTTGGTCCCTGGGAGCCTTTCACTAAAGATCAAACAACTGTGTAAGTTGTACAAATCAACTGTGTACTCGAAATCTAAATCTAAAGCTCAATAAATTAGTAGATAAAACTTTTCAGTGTAATCAATTGCTCTATGCGAACCCTTCAATGCAATTCTTATTCTGTGGCACTTATCGATGTTTGTTTTTGGATTAATTATCATTGTATTTAGGAGTTCCTGATGTATTTGAATAAATTCAAATCCATAGTTTTTAGATAAACGACGGCATTAAAGGAAAATATGGACTTTCAACGACTTCGATGAATCTTCTCTGTAAAAATGGGCAATGGACTTACGAAGGGAATGTTGTTACAACGATCGGTTGCAAGAATTGTGTTCTTGGCTTTTGTTGAGTGGGAAAGTCAATAAAGTAATACTTTTACTTTTGCATATCGAAATAACACAAAAAATAACTTATCTTTGCACTGAACAAATCAAAAATCGAAAGTGCTTTGTGAGGTCCATCCCAAAACAGCGCCCATATAAAAACGCCTAAAACAGTACAGAAACAGTGGGTTGCTGGCCGGTGACAAGCGATCCAACGAAGCTTTGATTGGCGGACCATGGTTTCAGGGTGTTTCTAAAAATGATCAAGCGTCGACATCGTATTGCTAACTGCTTACGCTTGGCTTTCCATTTCTTCCCCATTTTCGTCAAAAAGTCGAACCATCGCCAAAATGCATCCAAGTGAGACTAAAAAAGAAAACCCCATAATAAAACAAATGATCCAACTCTTGTTCGTGTTCTCCACAATTTTCACGCCAAACTGAATGATGTCGCCGGTGTTGCTCTGTTGCGGCACTGAATCCTCCCCGGTTTGCGCGAGCCTCTCATTGTTCACAAATGTGCCTAAAGTTAAGTTAGTCAGCAAGAAAACATTAAGCTCACTCTTCGACTAATCTCTCCAAACAAATCCTAAACAGAAACACCTTACCATTGCTGCTTTTCGTGTCCTTGATCATGAAAGCGCCGCCAGAGAACCACACGATCGCATGATTCCTCGACAACACTTTGGAGTCGAAAATGGCGTCCTTCGTCATCGGTTTGAGTCGAAACACCGAGCGTCACGGCGTCAGAGTCAGAGGCGAGCGTCAGTCATTTTCAAAACACGGCTCATTTCGTCCTTCAATTGTTCCACTTTTGCCTAAATTATCGGTTTTGAATGTTGATAACATTGTGAAAAACAAACATCATTGCCGATCGTGACTTTTTCGCGACGAGATTCACTCTCCTGGAAGTCGATGGTAATTTCCATAGCTTCTCTAAAATGCAATCTATAAATTGACGAATCTTGCAAAACATGGCTCAGAAAAAGAATATAATATCAAGCCAAGTAATAGATTGGATTTTAACCAATTCCCCAGAATTCGACCATTCTTAAACCTTTATTACTTCCAATAACAAACAAAAGAACGAACAAACAAAGCAATTGTAAATAAGTCAATAACACTAAGTTCATAATTGAAAACACATGAAAGACCTTCTCCTTGAAAATATTAGGGTGTCCGGAATGAAAATACCCTCAACTTCGATTGCAATTTTTTCGGTGTAGCGAACAGCTTCGCGTCTGATTTTTGTTTTGTTTTAAAGTTATATATCTTTTCTCACTCTATGTTTTTATAAAAATTTACTGCCTTACAATTTTGACTTTTTTCGAATGGAAGATCAGAAGTACCGAATTCGGGTGTGCTTGCTCTACGACTTTAAACAAGGAAAAAGTGTCCGGGAGAGCCATAGTTCAATCTTGAAATTTTTTGGAGAAGCTGCTTATTTTGAGGAAGCTTGTAAAAAATGGTTTCAACGATTTAGAGAGGGAGACGAAACTCTACAGGATCGAGGACGTGGTCACTCCCTCCACGATAACGATCTTCGAGAAGTCATAGAAGATGAACCAACCTTGTCGACTCGGGAACTTGCAAAAATGTTTGCTGTAGGCCACACAACAATTGCGGACCATTTACACCGTTTGGGTAAAGCGAATCTCGTCGGAGAATGGATATCCCATCAACTTAGTGACGCTAATAAAGCTACTCGAGCGACTATGGCCGGTATTCTTCTTCGTCAATCAAAAAATCGAGGTTTTTGGGACACTATTGTGACGGCCGATGAAAAATGGATTTACTACGATAACCCATCGCGAAAACAGAAGTGGTTAAGTCCAGGAGAACAGTCAAAAAAAACGACGCCACAACGCACATAGGTTACAAAAATAATCGTCTTTAAATCAAAAATCCGAACACTACAAATTTTAAGTTAGGCCCAAAAATGAACGGAAAAAATAAAATGATCCGAAAAGCATCATCCAAAATTTCAGAATTAAAGGCGGCGACTCTGATGTCTACTCAGATGTCTTTCGACATGGACTTTACCTTCATGAGCCGGTATACCGACGGCTTCGAGTTGAATTTTCGAGGACGCAGTTATCGCTTTCACGATCCTGATGCAAATCGAAAGGAATTCGTTGTCACAGGGTTAAACCGACTACCACCACTGCCAAGCAAGAAAATGTATCGTATCATCGTGAAAAATCTGACATTCCAGGTAATTATATTAATTATTTAATAATGTATTAAACAATTAATAGAAGGCGAAATATTGAATCATTTTATTGAGATAAAGCAATATTAAACTTTGATTTGAGATGCAATTGATTTCGGGTGTTACTTTAATCGGTTTACTCTTTAGGCTCAGAAGGCAAACGGAAACTTTTACGATGTCGATGAATGCGATTTATATCTGGAGTTTCAGAACGCATACCTTGGATTAGACTTTTTGACCTATCTCGAGGATCGATTGTATAGGCAAATTTAAATAGTATATTAGGTTGTCCGAAATGAAAATACGATCTTAATGAAAAACAAATCTATCTCCACAAAAAGAAAAAAAAGGCGCGGTAATCCAAAAGATATTCTCCGTTGTTGGCAATAGTCTTTCTCCATTTTTCTTTCAAATCTCGGATCCCTTTGCTGAAGAAATCCTGAAGCTGCGAGTCAAAGTATTGGCTTACCCAAATTCGGACTTCGTCGTGATCCTTCAGGTGTTTATCGGTCAGGAAGTGCTGCATAGATCGAAATAAGCGGTAGTCTGAGGGTGCCAGATCTGGACTATACGGCGGCTGCGGGAGACATTCCCAATTCAATTCCTCGAGTTTTTCTTGCGCCTTCTTTGCTGTGTGTGAGCGCGCGTATTCTTGCAGATATCTCACAGTCGATGCGTTTACACCTTGATTCTTGAGAGCCTGGTCTAAAAGTTCCAGCTGTTGCACATATACATCTGAGGTAACTATTGGACGAGAATGTAGAACCTCAAAGTGTATCAGACCACGGGAATTCCACCAAACAGATAACATGGCCTTTCTTCCATCCGGATCACGTTGCACATCGATTACACCCCTGTGTAAATTTTTTTTTTTCTTTAAATCAAAAATCCGAACACTACAAATTTTAAGTTAGGCCCAAAAATGAACGGAAAAAATAAAATGATCCGAAAAGCATCATCCAAAATTTCAGAATTAAAGGCGGCGACTTTGATGTTAGTGAAATTTCATATTTCATCGAACCATAAAGTGTTATATGTCATTCAATAGCTCTTTTCACGCTCTTTCAAAATGCTGAATTGAGTTTTTGTGGAATTCTATTTTTCCATGAAATTTTTTCCATATTCGGCGCCGAAAAGTCAAAATAATTTTTTTTCACGAAAATCTAGCTGATAAACTAGGCTCAAAAAGCAAATTTCTGAATTCTACGCAAAAAGTTGGTCGGGAATTGTTTTTTAATTTTGTTTTTTGGTCAATGGAAACGCGAGCTCCGAAACCTAGGTTTTTTAGAAGTGCGCGGTTATATGGCCCGCGCGCACCTTTGATGTTGGTAAAATTTTTCTTTTGTGTCAAATCATCAAGTGTTATATATCATTCGAAAGCATTTTTATGTGTTTAAACATGGCGGAAAGAATTTCCCGAAAAATTTGACTTTTTATTAGTTTTGTCCGATTTTATAATCTGGAATGCAGTTTTTTTCTGGTTCTGCGGTACTTGCAAATCTGGTATAGTCTAGAAAAAATTTATTCTATTTATAAGCATGAATTAGACAAAAAAAAGAATCACAATTGAACATTAAGCAAAAAGGAGGAAATTAAGATGTCATATTTCCATCATCATTGAGGAGAACAACATAACCGAGCCACTTGAGCGAGTTCATTAGTCGCTCTTCTGGTGGTCCTGTCTTGTTTCGAGCAAATTCAGATTCTAGCCTGCTGTGAACTGCCTCAATGCCCTCTTCGGATGCATTTCCGATGAATTTATGCTCATGGACAAATGGGCCAAGATGTAAGAGTAGAGCATGGACCAGTACACTTTGTCCAAAACCACCAACTTTTTCTAGTTCATCGCAAAGAATCGCTGTTTGGCAGCAGTTTCTGGCTTTTGAATGTTTGCCTTTGCAAGCCAAATCTTTTATTTCTTTATCCGAAAGAACACTTTTAGTGGTTGAAACCATTTGAGACCATTTGTTAAACTCACGTAATGCAGAAATGACTACTTGATAGGAACGGGAGGAAGAAACGACTGCTAAATCCGAAATCACTGAGGATCGACAGAGATTCTTTATATCGTTTCCGTTGAAACGAGCATAGATAATCCCATCACTCTTCCGATTCACATTCAACTTCCATTTTCGACAAACATCTTGGAAAGTCTGAGAGGACCCTTCGAGTTTCATCAATTGTTCAAAAAGTTGGTTTCCAATCTTGATTTTTGCATGAAGTATTGGGGGAATTACCAAACTTCGAGAAACATTTAATAGATTTTCTTTTTTTGCCTGCAGACCTTTTACTTTTGAAATCATCGCTTCCACCGAAGGGTCACTCCGATCAGCATATTGTTGAAAATCAATTGAATCCTTATCAGCGGATGGTTTTTTGTCAAACCTCTTGTTGCACCATAAACATCCAAACATCATCGCACAGGAAAGACCAAAATTGGTGTTCAAGAAAGATAGATCTCCACCGAGAAAAACCATATATCCGGCTTGCACCAAAGTCTCAAAGTCTTTGCAAATTCCCTTTTCCTTCAGCGAGTCGTAAGAATCTGAACCTTCCCAAGCTTGTAATGGAAGACAATTTCGAGACGAGCACGGTTTTTCGCAGCTCAGGAATGAAATAGTTGAAATAACTCGACCGTGTCCTTTATCGAGGGAAAAAATCAGCCGTTTTCCTCGCTCATCGAGCAGATCCAATCTTCTTCGCCGCTCTTCAACAGCTTTCAACACAGCTTCCAATCTTACTCCTTCATTGAGAACTATTTCATATCTGACAAACTGGTCCAGAGTCTTCTTGGCCTTTTCGATAGTTCGTTGTGAGCCAATGGTTACTCCTTGGTTTGATTGAAGAAAATGGTTTACAGATAATAGTCCTTTATTTGATAGATTGGCACTTTTTTTCATACCGAGTAGAGCTTCTGGAGTTGGAGGAGTCGGTGATTTGGTTTGAATATGTGAGGTTGAAGCAACAGAATCATCATCGTTTTGCTTTGCTTTTGCCACATAGACGGCGTTTTGACGATTTTGCTCGGCTCTTTTCTTTTCATTATCTTTCAGAATCCTTGCCTCCAGTGCTCCTTTCAAATGTGCTTTCGTGTCGAATTCTTTTTCTTTTTGTTGATTGTCTGCGGATCGTGATGAGCTTTCTTCTTTTGATTGCACAGGATTTGCAGGCACTTTCCCACTTCGTAATCCGTGCATGTTGTTTTGATTCGTTTGGCGTCCATGTTCCAAGTTGCCACTTCTAGACTTTTTGGCTTCTGATGTTCGTCCCATCTGCAAATTATAACTTTTGTTTTGAAAGTGTAGGAAATACGAATGTATGTAATAAGAAAAATAATAATAATAAGCTAATAATCAAAAAATAAATAATCGGGAAGCAAACTTGTCTGTAACTAAATGATTTTCTCCTGCGATTGACATTTATAACTTTATCATCTGTCATGCCTTTGGCATAGTAATTTATCGAGTAATTGTCAAGGCTGTATTTGGCTGTGCACCTGGGTTGCCTACCCGAAATTGACAAATACTCTCAATTTCAACTTTCCTGGAATTGTAACTCTTTCTTCAAAAAAAATTGCGTTTTTCACTTTTTTTAGAATAAATTTTTTCTAGACTATACCAGATCTGCAAGTACCGCAGAACCAGAAAAAAACTGCATTCCAGATTATAAAATCGGACAAAACTAATAAAAAGTCAAATTTTTCGGGAAATTCTTTCCGCCATGTTTAAACACATAAAAATGCTTTCGAATGATATATAACACTTGATGATTTGACACAAAAGAAAAATTTTACCAACATCAAAGGTGCGCGCGGGCCATATAACCGCGCACTTCTAAAAACCTAGGTTTCGGAGCTCGCGTTTCCATTGACCAAAAAACAAAATTAAAAAACAATTCCCGACCAACTTTTTGCGTAGAATTCAGAAATTTGCTTTTTGAGCCTAGTTTATCAGCTAGATTTTCGTGAAAAAAATTATTTTGACTTTTCGGCGCCGAATATGGAAAAAATTTCATGGAAAAATAGAATTCCACAAAAACTCAATTCAGCATTTTGAAAGAGCGTGAAAAGAGCTATTGAATGACATATAACACTTTATGGTTCGATGAAATATGAAATTTCACTAACATCAAAGTCGCCGCCTTTAATTCTGAAATTTTGGATGATGCTTTTCGGATCATTTTATTTTTCCGTTCATTTTTGGGCCTAACTTAAAATTTGTAGTGTTCGGATTTTTGATTTAAAGAAAAAAAAAATTTACACAGGGGTGTAATCGATGTGCAACGTGATCCGGATGGAAGAAAGGCCATGTTATCTGTTTGGTGGAATTCCCGTGGTCTGATACACTTTGAGGTTCTACATTCTCGTCCAATAGTTACCTCAGATGTATATGTGCAACAGCTGGAACTTTTAGACCAGGCTCTCAAGAATCAAGGTGTAAACGCATCGACTGTGAGATATCTGCAAGAATACGCGCGCTCACACACAGCAAAGAAGGCGCAAGAAAAACTCGAGGAATTGAATTGGGAATGTCTCCCGCAGCCGCCGTATAGTCCAGATCTGGCACCCTCAGACTACCGCTTATTTCGATCTATGCAGCACTTCCTGACCGATAAACACCTGAAGGATCACGACGAAGTCCGAATTTGGGTAAGCCAATACTTTGACTCGCAGCTTCAGGATTTCTTCAGCAAAGGGATCCGAGATTTGAAAGAAAAATGGAGAAAGACTATTGCCAACAACGGAGAATATCTTTTGGATTACCGCGCCTTTTTTTTCTTTTTGTGGAGATAGATTTGTTTTTCATTAAGATCGTATTTTCATTTCGGACAACCTAATATACTATTTAAATTTGCCTATACAATCGATCCTCGAGATAGGTCAAAAAGTCTAATCCAAGGTATGCGTTCTGAAACTCCAGATATAAATCGCATTCATCGACATCGTAAAAGTTTCCGTTTGCCTTCTGAGCCTAAAGAGTAAACCGATTAAAGTAACACCCGAAATCAATTGCATCTCAAATCAAAGTTTAATATTGCTTTATCTCAATAAAATGATTCAATATTTCGCCTTCTATTAATTGTTTAATACATTATTAAATAATTAATATAATTACCTGGAATGTCAGATTTTTCACGATGATACGATACATTTTCTTGCTTGGCAGTGGTGGTAGTCGGTTTAACCCTGTGACAACGAATTCCTTTCGATTTGCATCAGGATCGTGAAAGCGATAACTGCGTCCTCGAAAATTCAACTCGAAGCCGTCGGTATACCGGCTCATGAAGGTAAAGTCCATGTCGAAAGACATCTGAGTAGACATCACGTTGCAACTGTAAAAAAAACTATTAACATAATAATCAAAATATCAATATGAATAGAAATAGAAGCCAATCGATAAATATTCACGATTCGTGGGTAAGGGAAGCGCGACTAATCGGCATTCAGAATAAAAAATAAATCACTAGTCGCCATTATAGATATAGGATTGTTTCATAGAGAGATAGCATTACAATTTTGGAGCTGTATTTTATGTTGGCCTCGCGCTTTATGTTTTATGTTCGTTCGGTGTTGCTCAATCGGAGCTCGGCTTCAATTCGAGTTCGCTGTTCTCGCGGCCTTATTGATTTCCTAGCGGATGAGCGGATGAGATCCTAGAAAAAAGATATAAGATATTGACAAGTCCAAACCCTGGCCACATCTGGTTTCTCAGAGCAGAAACGAGCCGCATTGTAGATCATCGGTGATTTCTAAACCAAAATAAACTTTTAAATTTGATTCAATCTATTGTAGCTCGCAAATGAATACGAAAACAATACCTACCTCATAGATGAGAATCATCTTTTGCAGAATCCACTAAAGAGATCGCACGAGAATCACCAAAGCCGTCAGCAATATCAGTTTGACAAACGCAATCGAATCTAAAAAGGAAAAAAAATTATCGGAATTTTGCAAACAAATACTTACCGAACTTCTGGTAATTGCATTGACTCGTCTGGGAGGTTGTTCTGACCGTCTGACCGTGTTGATTGTAGTTGTTGTATTGACTTTCTTGCTTGTATTGATTCGCTTGCAGAGGACGAGCGTTGAGTAGACGGCGGGTCCCTGGATCTCGTTTTCTTTGCCACCAGCTCCGTACGAACACCTCTCGTTCTTGATGTCGACCTAAATAAAGAACCATAGTTCCACAAATCACGTCGTCAGTACACAATCACAAACCTCTCCAAGGATTTGCTTTCCATTCACAGTAATCACTCCAGGCGAGATCTTTCCTTTCTCATGACTGACAAATGCGGGTGACCAATCCTTCGTATCGGGTGATGCCGCTTCTGGGAATGGAATCCAGCCGTAGTCGAATCCACGCACAGCATCCGAGAGCTCGTAGAGAACCTGCTCAAGAAATTCAATCACCAAAAAGTACTGTTCCATACCTGAAGTGATCCGACATCCTCCTTGTGTTCGTTGCCTCCATGTGCGAAGTTGCAATCTTTCCTCCCTCGTGCCAAACGGGTCCCGTCACCGGCTCTCCACGTTGATACCATAGTGCCACGTGTTGTTCCGAGCTCTCACCGGGTAACGAGTCCAACGACTTGCCGAGTGCCTGAACAGAAACAATATTTAGATAAATCTTTTGATAAGATAAAGCTTATTCAAAATGTTCACCTTGACAAGTTTCTTGTTTGGCCACGGGTCGCCCATACGGAAATCGGCCCATTCGTTGAGCATGACACGAATGACTGGGCGTGGTGGTCCCTTGGAGCAGTTGGCGCATTCACAGTTGGGTGGTCCTCCCTTGAGCTCGCGTGGGATGACAAACATCGGCAAGGGATCACCGCCTTGACGTTGAATCACCTTTAAACATAAGGTTCGCAAGGAAACCGATACTTTGGTGGTTGGGAAGGGGCACTTTTATCCTGCCTTAGTTGAATCTAGTGTTTTGAGTGGTTGTATTGATACCTTTTATCTACCTATTCTAGGGTAATCAAATATGCGTATACTTTTAGAGCATTTATAACATATTTCAAGTTTCATATCGCCGATTTTATTCGATTTTCAAGTGTAAGCAGCTTTGAGGTAGGATTTGGTGGTTAAAGTACATGGGATCAGACTAGAATTACCAAAAACTTGCCAAAATCTAATGTCTTGAGTGATTGTATTGATACCTAAGTATCACCAATCTATTAAGCATATTTTATTACCCTAGAATAGATAAAAAGTATCAATACAACCACTCAAAACATTAGATCCAACTAAGCCAGGATAAAAGTGCCCCTTCCCAACCACCAAAGTACCGAAAAACCTTAAAACAATTAACCTTATTGTTGATCGAGAACCAAGAAATCTCGGTTTTGTTGTCGACATATCCAAGCACGGGTCCTTCCGGGCTGTTTGGCCAAAAGATCGGGAATGAGTCGCCACAGTGCACAATCTCACAGTCGGTCACATACTTGTGGAGACGATCCGCATACTTGATCCAGTTGTACCAGTAGCCGAGTTTGTTGTGATCGCCCTTGTATTGGAGAACCTAAAAGGAAACTTATCTTCAGAACAAAGGCAACAAAAGAGTGATAGAGACTGAAAGAAATTGCGAAAGACTAGATGAATACTAACACACTTCAGCGAATCCTGCTTTACGACCAGATACCTACTCGATATGACAAAATTGTCTGAATCGATCAACGTGTGAAAGCAACTATCAATTTTAAAGTCAATGGATAAATTTGAAAAATTGTTTGATCGGTAATACATAGCCTTGACACCTGATGATCACTGACACTAAAACCTAATTCAATGTTATTCTGAAATATGAAGTCAAACTTTAACAAATGAGCCATTCCAAATAGCTAGAATTTCAAATCTCGAACTTTGATCAAACAAGAATTAAACAAAAACATTTATTTTAACTTGAATAAAGCATAACCAAACAGAACATATGAAAAACAATCATCATCGCTTGACGTTGATGAGATGATAATTGGAAACGGGCAACTAAAAATGAAAAAAGTTGGTTGATTGTCGTGATGGAAGCTGCAATTTAGATTATCTAATCTCAAAATTTCAATAACTCTGAATACAAATCTTATTTAAAGCAACCTAAACGATTTATTTACCTTTCTATATTCTATACTTTTGTATTAGTAATCATAAAGGGTTGTAAGAAAGAATATGATAATAATGAAAGTCAATTATACAATGATAACTAGCTGTAACAATCAAAACAACTAACCTTAATCATAGAAGACATAACCTTCGCGTACAAGGGCGTCCGCCAAATGACTTGGAAGTTGAGGGTTTGCACATTCAACGTACAAATCCACTTCACATGCATTCCGATATCGCCGGGCCCGTGGAGGCTTTCCCTTAAAATTAGAGAAATTAAAACTAATTTCAGTTAGATTAAGGATCTATTGAAATATGATCATAATAACCTGAAGGATTATGCCTGGAATCAGGAGCGCCCAGGCTTTTTTTTTTCCTGTTCTTGTGTAACGACGCGGAGTATTAGCAGCTGGGTGAGCGAATCGCAAAATCTTGCCCGCAACAGTGATCTCAATATATCCTCGAGTCACATTCTTGTCAGTGAAATCCTCAAGAATGCTGTACCTTGGATTCATCGTGCGGCTGAAAATGAGTTTTATTGTACATAGTCAATAAGAAAAGCAACTAAAAGAATTCCGATAAAATGAAGTAAAATAAGTTAAGTTGATATGGATAAATTCATGGAAGCCTTTATTCAATGTAACCCAAATATAACCAACATTTGTTCATCCGAATTCTCATGGTCCTGAACATTGGAATCGTTTTCATCCTCGACATCCTCATCAACTTCTGAGTCGTCAGGAGGTAGAACTAACTAAAATGAATCAATTAATGAGTTATTATAGTTGATTCTTGTAAACTAATAGTTAAGTCAAAGATTCTGAAAATCTAGAGAATTGAATAATTGACACAATAATCAACCTTCGTAAGGATATAATCGCGAACAAAAATCACCTGTTGGTAGTGTGCAAGATTTCCGACTTTGGTTATAAAATCACCAAACTTCATGACGTCGGTAAATTCAACGCATAGAGCCACAGAAGGAAGTCCAAACCAAGAGTCATCATCTTTAGCCTAAAGGTAAATAGATCAATAACATATACCCAATCTCTCCTTATCACAAAGTATTCGGTTTCATAGTTTTGATTTTATAAAAATTTAATCGAGCCCGAAATGAAAATGACCAACCTGTAACAACATTTCAGCCAATGTAATCTGGATCTTTCCAATTGTCTTCATCGAAAATTTGCGATGGTCCCGATTATCCGGGTAACCAAAACGAAAAAGCTTGGTTTTATAACCCAGCTCCACATAATTTGGCGTCACTTCAAGTGAATCGAAGTCTTCGAAGAAACAGAGTTGAGTTTCCATGTCGCGCTAAGTAAAATGAATATTAGAATAAGAAATCAAGATACTGAAAAAGAATCCACGAAAAGTCTAAACAAAAACATAATAAAAGTAGATGATTAAAGTGGACTGAAAATTAAAGGAAAGTTGACGCAAATGACAAATGCTTAATAAAAAGGAAGTTTTATCCCCACCACCATCTATTTTTTTCTAGTTTGTACCTGCTGTGACTTTTAGAAGGGAACAGATGAATCGATGTCCATTGATCGTTGAGAGAACAACAAGAGAAAGGCTTGTATTAGACAGATTTTTCGTGAAACTTTTTCGCTTTAGAAAATGACTAATACGAATCTGGTGCTTCCTCGGATGATCCACTCGGGAATGGTCAACGATCTAAGCGGGTTTTCAATGCGGAGAAAATGAGGAAGAGCCAGAACGACAGCGAATCAATCGACTGTCCAAACGCTTCAATCGACCGTCGCCACGCCTTTTGTACTTCCACCCGTATTGACGACTGATCTGCAGGGGCAAAAGCGATCGAGAAATGGACTTACACAAAAAGTTCTTCGATTGCTTTGTCTATTCGCATTTTAAATTCATCCATTGCCTACTTGTCTCTAATTCATTTTATATCATGTGATAAGAGTTTTTCAAAAAGATCTACTCAACATATCCCTTTCGTTTCTTTGCTTTTTCTGTGTTTCTTTGGAATGAGCTTTTGTGGGAAATAAATGATCTGCATTGGGAACGAGAAAGAGTGAAAGAAGGAAGATTTCAACTAGGTACTCGGTGTTAAAAACACAAAATCTGTATTAAAGATACGATATAAGTGCTTGACAGATTTTCGGATGGACTTGGAATCCAAGTCCATCCGTAAGTCTAAGTCTTGGCTGAGATAAAGCTGTTTGATGCAAAGCTCTGTATACAGGGTGTTTCACAATTACTGATACCCCGACCCCTCATCATAAAAGCATTTAAATTGTCCAGCGCGAGCGATTTATTGACTGTTTTTTTTAAGTTTTTCTTGTTTTAAACTTGTTTACATTTAATAATATTTTAAAAATTGTTCTTTTTTAGAAATGGCCAAGCCCTCTCAGCTTTCGCGACTTGATCATTTCTCGTTTTGCGAACATGCAAACGTTTTAAGTCTCTTGGAACAAATCAGGGTCGAAAGGGAGGTGGAAGACGTGTAACTTCGGCTGTTAAGACTGTTATCAAGAACGTTCGCGAGAGAATAAGGCGCAATCCGGAGAGATCTGTTCGTCAAATGGCTCGTGAAATGAAAGTTCCTGTGACTTCGATGCATCGAATCCTTTGAAAACGCTTAGGAATGAAAGCTTTCAAGAAAAACAAGTGCCACGGAATTACCGATGCTGCCGAAGGAATAGTCGTAGTTTACGATTCTACGACTATTACCGAAGGAATAGTCGTAGTCCTAGTTTAGTCGTAGTTTAAAGAAAGTTTTAAATTTAGAATGGTAAGACCCTCTGTGCACCGCAACGGAACGCAACAACCGCGACATTCAACTTCATAAGGACAATATCCGAGCGATTGACATTTCTAGAACTAAATGAACGTTTCCAAAAAAGTTTTATCAACCATTATTGCAAGATTCAAGGAATTGGGAGTCACTTCTGACCGTCGTAGAGGAAGCATGATCAACAAAATGATCGATGATTAACAAAATCATTATCAAGATAGTGCGTGATTGAGTCCGTTTGAACCCACATCACTCCGTTCGCAAAATGGTCGCACAAATGAAGGCATCAAAGAGCTCTATGTGTCGACAGAAGTTCTTAAAGAATCACTTAATAGTCACGTAATCACTGAATCTTCATCTCAATCCGATGAATTACTCTTTGTGGAGTGTTCATGATGAAAAACCGACTTTTTTTCCTATTTTTTCAATCATTTTTTCTAAGCGCTGATTAAAGTCAAAAATATGTGTTATGTCTTAAAAAATTCCCCATCCTCTCTAATTTAATTTAAAAACTTTAATCTACTGCTCGATCGATATCTAGTACCATAAAAAAATTGTTTCAATTACTTATATTTTGATTTAAGTCTGCCATGTTATCGTCAAGTTCTTATTTTAAAATTTAAGCCGTTTATTTATCACAAATCTTTTTGTGCTTACGCGAGGGAAATATTTTCTCTATGTTTGGCTGGGGAAAGAGCTCGAATGTTCCATAGAGAACTGTAAAAAAAAGGCAAAAAGGCGTAAAAGGTATGAAAGAAAAAACCAGGGGAAAAAGACGAGAAACGAAAAAGCCTCTTTTCACGCTTATTATCTCCAAAAAGCAGAGAAAATTGAGTCATTGAGCCTTTCGTTAGGCTAGGATATTCTCGGCGCAAATATATACTTCATTTTATCAAATTTAATGATTTTTTATTTGGATTTACCTTCTTTTGTTTTATTTACTTAAAGTTTAGTTATAAAAATGACTGAACTACTCGTTAGCTGTTTAAAGCCGTTAGCTTTAAAGCCAAGCAAAGTCAAGGTTTGTTTAGAATCGCTTCATTTGTAAAATAAAGTTTTTAGAATAAAAAACGATCAAAAGGAAAAAAGCGTCAATTAGGATATGAATTTGAAGATGAATTTGAAGAAAAAGAGGTTATTTTGAGAATTCGAAACTGATTATTTCACCGAAAAGCACTCATTAAGCTCAAATTTTTAGAATAAAACTCAAACGAATGTTTCGAATGAAGCCATGGCTTTGTCCAAGTCTATCAGAACACAGGTAATAAATAAAATGTTATTAATTCAATTAAAGAAATTTAGAAAAACCCAAATCTTTCAAATACTCAAAGAAAGAAGAGAACTCCTAATGAGAAAAAGGTTTTTGATAGGCTAAAACACCAAACAATTCAGCGACTTTTAGATAAAATCTGCTGTATCTGTTGATCAAAACGTAGATGTTCAATCGAAAGCAAATATTGATGAAAACAAAAAGATATCAAATGCAAATCCTTTACCAAAATCCCTCCAAAAAAATCGTTACGTAAACAAAGCCATCGAAAAGGTGTCAGCTGGGATAAAGTTGTTATCAGCGTCTCTCGAGAGTCTCACCGATGGATTGTTGTCAAAAGTTAAAAGAAGAAATCCGATCAAGTTTGTTTCATTTTAAATACTTCGAGTGTAAATAGATAAACGGGACTATACTATGAAACTTGCGCCACGAATCTTGCGCCGCGAATGACTTGACTTGACTAAAACTTGACTGAACACTCTGAGATTTATAGAAAATTTACTATGGTATTTCAAAATATCAAGTCTGTAGGATATAATAACAAAGTATCGTAAATAGCTTGTACTCAGCCTCGACTTCAGTTCTTCAGGAACCATTTCAGAGCACTCATTCCATTGAAAATCAACGAAAAGATCGATCTCCGTCATTATCCAAAAGGAATCAAGATTTCAGGTATTTTTTTTGCTTTAACAAGTCTAATCTTGCTTTTTTAGAAGTTAAGCATCGTGGGAATCGTTTGTTGTTCAAGATTTTGGAAATTCAAGGAGAAAAACTCGAGTTTAGAATTGCGAAATGGGATGCCCCTGGAGCCAAGTTTAAAATAGTAAGGATTTTTTTTTTTAATTGTAAAAACTTTTTCAGCCCGACGGCCCAATTGATGGATATAGAAGTTTTGAAGTTCTTGTCGATTTAAATCATATGGAGACTCAGAAACTCTTCAAGATGTATTCAGAGGTTAATCTTTTTTGATGTAAATTTATTGATGTATTTATTGATGTATATGTATGATTTAGTTTTTTCATCAAGATTATTTTCCGTGGATTGAAATGGAGCTCATCAGAAACAAAGTGATCACCAGGATTTGGCTGATTTTCGATTGGGATGATACGCGGTGAGTGTTTGAATAAATTTTGAATGATTAGAAAACAAATAAACTTATGAAGCTTTTCCCTTTGATGATCATTAAGTTTTTTTTGCAGAGAATTTCTTTAATACAGTAACATTGCCAAGTGCATATCAATGTTTAAATATTCTATAGCTTTTCTTCTAACTGAGCTAACTATTACTCGTAGGAAACTTTTTGAAAGACGATATGAAATATAATGATATCTAAAGAATAATATATAGCCAAAACTCGATAATAAAACTCTCGTTAACAAACAGACTTTTCTGTATAATGATGAGTAAAATTAGTATAATTTTAGCGATACTTTCAAAGTGTCCACTCAGCTGAATATCTTCTAGTTTCGTGGAATTTCTATGGGGCAGCTACGAAAAATCTACACAGAAAAGAGGGCGGAGCTTCGTAGCTTTCATAGCTGCCGCATTTGTTTAAAAGATATTCAACTAGAGCTTAAGGGGACCTTTAAAAGTATAATTTCAGCCTTGATAACAAACATTACGGCTTTCCACACTTCTTTAAGTACCTAAATTCTAAAATCGGCTCCAAAGCACAGCTATTCAGTCCATTAGCTGAGTATCTTCTAGCAATGAACGTATAAAACGATTCGTTTTCTGTCAGTATTCACTCGTTTGGGGGTGGGACAAATGCGACCTTTTTTTTTGCGACACGTCAAATTTGGGTTAAAAGGCAAAAACTACGCAACTTAACGCTTTTCCGCAGTTTTTGCCTTTTAGCCCAAATTTGACGTGTCAGCGAGGTCCGATTTGTCGAAATTCGGAATCTACGCATACGATTCCCTTATATGGAAAAATTTTCGAAATATTTTCGAAGCTCTACGGCCTTGCCTTAAGGCCTTTTCCAGCAAAAAAAAAGGTGCGCAAATGTCCAGGTGCGCAAAAAAAAGGTCGCATTTGTCCCACCCCCCACTCATTTTGATCATTTGCACTTCTTTACTTACTTCACTTTACTTACTTCACTTCTTTACTTATTGCACTTTTTTACTTACTGTTTTTAGAGTATTTCTTAACATTATGAGGTAAAATAGCAAGAAAACCTCGATAATAAAAAGGTTTCTCGAAATCCCTTGAGTTTTATTTGTAATTTTTGTTTTTGTTATCCAGGTTTTACTGTAGTTAATTTATCGAGCTATTCAGTGCTCATTGGATTCCATATTTCACCGATCGTCGCCCGTTCTCAGGCGGGAAAAACTGGTGGCCTGGGGTTGAAGTGCAACAGTACAACGACTTTGTCATCAACAAATGTTTAACAGTATCTGGTAACATTTTAAAATCAGAATCAAACGTTATTTAATTTTAGACATTCGCTTTGATCAAACATTGCTTCATTTCACAATAATCTCTCCATCATCTTCTAATCCAACTGTGATTTTCGATGAGCGGGAACCACTGAAGAAAGGGATTCGAATGATTGTGCTTGATCATGTAGAGCTTAATCCTGAACAAGTAAGGATAAAATAACATTTTATAAATAGCAAATTAGATAAATAATAATAGATTTATTTTAGAATTCATTCGGCATCGGCAATATTGCAATCACTTTTCGGAATCGACGCGCTCTTACCTATCTTGGGGATGATAAAGTGGTAAGTTGGATTAGAAAATGATACTTTTTATTTTTAAATTTACTAACTTATTAAATTAAAGCATTATTTAGCGTGCCGATCCGACTCTTTGGCCCTTCTTCAACATCAACTTCTCGGGCTGCTTATCCATTCAAATTTTGCTCAAATTTAATTGGAATATTCTCAAGTTAGTGTTTTTATGTTTAAATTTTAAATTATAACAAAAACAAAAACAATGCGTAAGATTTAGAGCCGAATGGACTCCAGAGTTCAGTATTGTGCACAAGCCAAAGTCCCAGATCGAAAAAAGGCTTAAAGTGAGAAGGTAAGATTACTTTACTCATTACTTTTTTATTTTGTTAACAGTTGTAACAAAAAAACTATTTTTTATAAAAATAAACTTACAGGCCACTTCAAAAAATGAAGCGAAAACAACCGAACCCTAAGAAGATGGGTCTACATAATGGATGATTCGCTGAATCGAACATTGAACAAATTGAACCAGTCTCAACTATCACCATCAGAAATCACAACAACAAAACGATCGGATAAAATAAATCAAAAAAGATTTCATCTCTTTTCCTATCCAGTTTAGAAATCACTTACATCTTTATTTGACTGCAACTAAGGAAAAGATCTCTATAATAAAATGCTTAGTGCTAGTTACAGCTTTTCAAAATTCATTCTTTATTTGAATAAATTGTTATACAGACTTTTTAGAATGCAAAGAAATGTAGAAAGTGTTTTTATGCAAAGGCTTTCTACAGAGTTTCTACAATTATCGCATCGCAGTTTTTGGGCTATATCATATGAGAATAAATCTCATATGATTTATTTGACTCTTTTCTGGTTAAAAAGCTTAAAACAAATGTTTTCGACAAAAATCGTCAACCATTTGGTGTTTTATGAGCCCTGGATGAAAACTGCAATCGGTTCCATCTTCATCTATTCCATCTTCTTGAAGATGAATTTTTCTTGGAACTGGCAAATTTCATCGGTTAATCTCAAAGTTAACTGAAAGAATTATTTAAAGGTTAGCCCAAAAACTACGCAATAATTTGCAGCCACCCTGTACAATCAAAGTCTATCAAAGAATACAACTTATGCTTGAAAGATGTCGCAATTGTCATCTCATTAATTTCTGTTTTCATCAATTTGACCAAACATTTATCTGTATTTGAATACTAGTATCGATAAGGTCTTCATCAAAGCTAATCTGTACAAATATCAATCTTTTGTAGATGTTTAGGAAGGTCTATAACACGACAACTAGACTTGCTTGTCGATATTATCAATACGAATGGCAAGCTCATGTTTGATCGTTCAAATCTCGGTTTCTAGAACAGCTATCAATCTGCAAATTATTTCTTTGGAAAGTCAAGAATGTTAGCTTGTGATTGTTATCTCACAGATAGCAAATTCTCATAGGTGAGTGCCTTAAAAAGCTTATCAATACATCGATACTCAAATATCGATAAGCTAATCGTTAAGCCTCGATAGCGATAAGCACCTCATAAACCTTATCGATAAGTATCGATACGGTTTATGAGGTGTTTAATCATTAAAAGTCGCTTTGTATAAAATAGCAATCAAAGCTGACATTCTTGGCGTTCCAATGAAACGATTTGCGGATTGATAGCTGTTCTAGAAACGGAGATCTGAACGGTCAAACACGAGCATGCCGTTTGTATAGGTAATATTGATAAGCAAGTCTAGTCACATGAGTACAAAGTTAAAAGTCGTAAAATGCAAATACAAAATAAAATACTAAATGATCAAAGTGACGGTATCACCATTCTTCAATTCGTACTTTTGCAATGGACCGGACTCGAGTTGGTTGCCATTGAAGAAAATATTTTGATCGGCTGGCTCGATTTTCAAAACATTTCGTCCTTCAGTTGTTCCACTTTTGCCTAAATTATTGGTTTTGAATGTTGATAACATTGTCAAAAACAAACATCATTGCCGATCGTGACTTTTTCGCGACGAGATTCACTCTCCTGGAAGTCGATGGTAATTTCCATAGATTCTCTAAAATGCAATCTATAAATTGACGAATCTTGCAAAACATGGCTCAGAAAAAGAATATAATATCAAGCCAAGTAATAGATTGGATTTTAACCAATTCCCCAGAATTCGACCATTCTTAAACCTTTATTACTTCCAATAACAAAAAAAGAACGAACAAACAAAGCAATCGTAAATAAGTCAATAACACTAAGTTCATAATTGAAAACAGATGAAAGACCTTCTCCTTGAAAATAGATTATACTATTAGGTTGGTGGGAAAATAATCGAAATAAATAAGACTCAAACTTTGTCTTTGATTTTAAAAGTCCTTTTGCGTCATTGAAACTAAACTTTTAGCTAATTGTGATTGATATATGTTCTTCTCTTTTATGTTTTTTTACTTTACAATCAGTCTTTATTTTGAATAAAAATTTAATGTTTTAAGGGCATGGATAAGGAAGAATTTTGGACACTTTTTTTCTACGAGTTCAAGCTTGGCCATACAGCAACAGAAGCGACTGGTAATATCAACAGGGCATTTGGCGATGGAAGTGTTTATTATGATATGGTCGCTTTTTGGTTTCGGCGATTTCACTCGGCCGATGGCCGATGAGACGTTTCATGACAAGGAACGTCAAGGAAGGCCTCCCAGAGTTGACGATGAAGAATTGGAAAAACTGGTGGAAGGAGATTCGACCAAAACATCTCGGAATACGCACAGGACCTTCAGGTTGATCATTCAACAATTTTGGCTCATTTGAAATCAAGCGGAAAGGTAAAGAAGATGGAGCAATGGATCCCGGACGAATTAAGCGACTCGCAGAGGTTGCAGCGTTTGACAGCCGCCTCGACGCTTCTAATCCGAAATAAAAAAGATTCATTTCTGAATCGGATTGTCACGTGTGACAAAAAATGGATCCTATACGACAACAGAAAAGGAAGATCCGAATGGCTCAGCAAAGATGAAAAGCCCAAGCGCACTGCAAAGCCAGAGATTCATCAAAAAAAAGGTGATGATTACCGTTTGGTGGTCCATTAAAGGAATAATACATTTTTCTTTCTTGAAAACAGAAAATTCTATGAATTCGGACTAATATATTTTGGAAATAGAAAAAATGCATACAAAATTGACAATTTTGGATCCAGGTTTGGTGAATCGGAAAGGCCCTGTCTTGCTTCACGACAACGCTCGCCCGCACATTGCAACCAACACCATCAAAAAATTAAGCGAGCTGGGCTACGAAATTCTTAGTCACCCACCTTATGCATCAGATCTTTCTCCTACGGATTTCCACTTTTTCAAGCATCTGTGCCATTTTCTAGAAGAAAAACAGTTCAAGAATCAAGGCGAGCCCGAAAACGCTTTCCAGCAGTTTATCGACTCGAGAACCCCAAATTCCTATTCTGATGGAATTGTAAAACTTGTTTCACGTTGGCAGCAGTGTATAGATGCTGATGGTGACAACGAATTCCCTTGCATTGCCTTGAATGGGATCATAAAATCGATATCTACGTCCTTGAAAATTCAGATCAAAGCCGTGTGTATGCGTCAGCAGAGTGAAGTCCAGTGTAAACGACATCCGCGTTACCATCTTGCACAGGCTCTAAAAAATGTTGGCATGCAAAAATGCTGTATTTTATGTTGGCATCGCCAGATCTTGGAATCATTTACTTTTCATTCAGAATATATCAAATTTTGGCTAAAAAACAAACCCAACATAACAGAAAAAAACCAATAGAATTTCCATTAGTTTATTGTTTTAAAATGCGCCTTTAATCTAATTGCGAAGCTAATTCCATTTCTAACCGAGTAAACTGTAAATAGAGTGACATCGTCAAAAACGCATACAGATCAAAAACGCATACAGTTATTGATCAGAACACTAAATGTAACATTATTTCTTCTTTTCAAACAACTATGATACTGAGAGAAAAAACCAAAACGTTTTATTCAAAAAAGAACTGCAGTTTTCCCTTAAAATTGTCAATAGCCTATTAAGAGCTTTTATACCTGCAAAATAGCAAGCACAAACTCGAAAAAAAAATAGATGGTGGTGGGGATAAAACTTCCTTTTTATTAAGCATTTTTCATTTGCGCCAATTTTCCTTTAATTTTCAGTGCACTTTAATCATCTACTTTTATTATGTTTTTGTTTAGACTCTTCGTGGATTCTTTTTCAGTATCTTGATTTCTCATTCTAATATTCATTTTATTTAGCGCAACATGGAAACTCAACTATGTTTCTTCGAAGACTTCGATTCGCTTGAAGTGACGCCAAGTTATCTGGAGCTGGGTCATAGAACCAAGCTTTTTCGTTTTGGTTACCCGGATAATCGCGACCTTCGCAAATTTTCGGTGGAAACAATTGGAAAGATCCAGATTACATTGGCTGAAATGTTGTTACAGGTTGGTCATTTTCATTTCAGACTCGATTAAATTTTTATAAAATCAAAACTATGAAACCGAATACTTTGTGATAAGGAGAGATTGGGTATATGTTATTGGTCTATTTACCTTTAGGCTAAAGATGATGACTCTTGGTTTGGACTTCCTTCTGTGGCTCTATGCGTTCAATTTAACGACTTCATGAAGTTTGGTGATTTTATAACCAAAGTCGGAAATCTTGCACACTACCAACAGGTGATTTTCGCGATTATATCCTTACGAAGGTTGATTCATATTATTGTGTCAATTATTCAATTCTCTAGATTTCCAGAGTCTTTGACTTAACTATTATTTTACAAGAGTCAACTATAATAACTCGTCAATTGATTAATTTTAGTTATTTCTACCTCCTGACGACTCAAAAGTTGATAAGGATTCCGAGGACGAAAACGATTTCGATGTTGAGGGAATTTATGGCCATGAGGATTCGGATGAACAAATGTTGGTTATATTTAAGTTATATTGAATTAAGGCTTTCATGAATTTCTCTATATCAACTTAATTGCATGTATTTTATTTCATTTTATTGGAATTCTTTTAGTTGCTTTTCTTATTCTGACTATGTAGAATAAAACTCATTTTCAGCCGCACGATGAATCCAAGGTACAGCATTCTTCAGGATTACACTCACATGAATTTGACTCCAGGACATATTGAGATCACTGTTGCGGGCAAGACTTTACGATTCGCTCACCCAGCTGCTAATGCTCCGCGTCGTTTCACAAATGGAAAAAAGGCCATTCCACGCAAGTTCCAGGCGCTCCTGATTCCAGGCGTAATCCTTCAGGTTATTATGGTCATATTTCAATAGATCCTTAATTTAACTGAAATTAGTTTTAATTTCTCTGATTTTAAGGGAAAGCCTCAACGGTCCCAGCAATATCTGGATGTATGTGAAGTGGATTTGTACATTGAATTTGCAGACCTTGATCTTATTAGTCCATTGTCGATCGCCCTTAAGCGTGAAGGTTATGTCTACTATGGTTAAGGTTAGTTGTTTTGATTGTAACAGCTAGTTATCATTGTATAATTGACTTTCATTATTATCATATGCTTTCTTACAACCCTTTATGATTACTAATACAAAAGTATAGAATATAGAAAGGTAAATAAATCGTTTAGGTTACTTTAAATAAGATTTGTACTAAAAATTATTGAAACTTTGAGATTAGATAATCTAAATTGCAACTTCCATCACGACAATCAACCAACTTTTTTCATTTTTAGTTGCCCGTTTCCAATTATCATCTCATCAACGCCAGGAAATGATGATTGTTTTTCATACGTTCTGTTTGGTTATGCTTTATTCAAGCTAAAATAAATCTTTTTTTAAATTCTTGCTTGATCGAAATTCAAGATTTGAAATTCTAGCTGTTTGAAATGGCTCATTTGTTAAAGTTTGACTTCATATTTCAGAATGACATTGAATTAGGTTTTGGTATCAGGTATCAAGTCTATGTATAACCGATTAACCGATTTTTCAACTTCATCCATTGACTTTAAAATTGATAGTTGCTTTCACACGTTGATCGATTCAGACAATTTTGTTAGGAGTTTATCATATCTCAAACTAAAGGAAAAGGCCCTATATCGTTTTTGAGAATTGTTTTTTTGATGATCCGACATAATATAATGAAGAAGCCGAGACATTGGCTCTGAAATTTTCATGGGATTTGAGGAAAAAATACTCGATTTTTAAAATCAAACTCGGAGAGGCAAAGCATAATCTTTGTCATATCGAGTATTGGGTTGGGGAGAATGAGTCGGCGCCAAACTTTAAAGGGACTTTTTTGCACACATAAAGCCTTCTTTAAACATACGTTTGGTTTCATCAAAAGGATCCACTATTTCTCTACAAAATGACTTTTGAGAAATTCCACAAAGCTTTTCTTTCGTGGAGTTTATGAACTTCCAAACGCAGCTGCTTAAAATGGCAAAGAGTCCGACTTTGAACAGTTTCTTTCACATAAACCTTCTTTGGTGTTTATATAAAAAAGATAGAGCACATTCAATTACTTAAGTTGCCAAATTTGCAGGAAGATCCCACCAATGGTTTTTTCTAGATGACAGTTTGTAGTTTTTGTGAAAAAATGGCTTTTTCTTGAGCGGAGGCGCTGTTTGAATTTTCTTTTAAATGTCATTTTGTAGAGAATTAGTTAACCATTCTACTGATATCAAACGCATATTATTTGACGAAGTCTGCTAGAAGTTTTAGACATTTTTTTGATTTTCGGCGCCGACTCATTATCCCCAACCCAATAGGTATCTGGTCGTAAAGCTAGACTCGCTGAAGTGTGTTAGTATCCATCTAGTCTTTCGCAATTTCTTTCAGTCTCTATCACTCTTTTGTTGCCTTTGTTCTGAAGATAAGTTTCCTTTTAGGTTCTCCAATACAAGGGCGATCACAACCAACTCGGCTACTGGTACAACTGGATCAAGTATGCGGATGGTCTCGAGAAGGATGTGACCGACTGTGAGATTGTGCACTGTGGCGACTCATTCCCGATCTTCTGGCCGAACAGCCCGGAAGGACCCGTGCTTGGATATGTTGACAAAAAACCCAAGATTGCTTGGATCTCTCCGAGATTTTGTTAGGAGTAGGTATCTGGTCGTAAAGCTAGACTCGCTGAAGTGTGCTAGTATTCATCTAGTCTTTCGCAATTTCTTTCAGTCTCTATCACTCTAACATGGAGAAAAATTGTGTTGAAAACTGAAAATTTTGTAACCCCACTTTGCGCATGGGAAGTTCGTAACGAAAGGGCTTTCTCCATTGAAATGGCTCCATTGAAAAATGTGAAGTCGAAATGTTTGCATTGATGAGGTACCTTTTGATTCTTGGACATTGGGGTAAACTTGATGATTTTAATTAAAAACTTGAGCTCTGGGTAGGTTCAAATATTGCTTATCTCAAATTCATTCGCCTCGGTTAATTTCAGGTCCCTCAGTCGAGCAAGGTGTTGGCTCCAACAGAGTCACCAAGCTTTGCTGAATTGCTTCGTTTCGCAGCTTTCAATCGCTCTCGCTCTCTAGAGGTAAGCATTATTGTTTGAATTGAAAATTTATACTTCTCGTACAGAATGCTCGATCTAAAGACGTTCACATGGGTATTTCATCAATGAGTCGCAGAGCTGGTGGGTTTTACTTTAATAATTGATGTGATTTTGTGAAATTTAGACACTTTTGATAGCTGTGTTGCTGCGATTCGACGGGATAAAAAATTTGCAATAACAGAGGTAATTGGTATTTTTTGTTTTTAGATAGAACCCTGAAAAATCCTAAAATTTAGCAAATATTTAACTCTTAATTTTAGACGGTCGAGATTGTTGGTGAGGATCACGTTGTGATTGAGACTGAAATTAACGATATTGCGGATGCTTCTGCTGGCGACGCATGATCGACTGCAACTTGGCACTCAACATTCAACACCAATCATTGTCTCGATTGGTTCCATTTTGGTTCCGATTCGGTTCTCGTAAAATACTTCAATATTACAATTGATATTCTAGGTACTGAGTTGGAACTAAGGCAGATCAAGACTCTTGCGCCGCCGGGACTCAAACCCCCGACCCTTTGCTTACCAGGCAACTGGGCTAACCACTACACCACAACGCACTGATCTCCCTTACTTCAGAGGGAGTTAACGACTACTTTGAATCTTTCCAATTAGACTTCTTTTTGCATTTATTTCTGCTCCAACAGTTCTTCTTGTTCATGCTTGTATTCGAATGTTTCCAACGCGTAACCCATTCCATTTCCTTTCAAATTTATCAAAATTTTAACAACTCTAGCGCTCAAGTGAGTTTTGTAGAAAAAAATACAGCCAAATTTGAGGCGAAAATTGACAAAGTTTGAAAAATTGATTGTGACGCTGAAATAGATAGCTTTTCACAATGAAAAAATTCGTATTCTATCAAAAGATCCAGATTTCCCAGAGGAATCAAAACTTTTAAGCTGTTTTTCGTCTCTATCTAATATTTTTGATTCCCTGCTTTGATTGAGTCATTTTTCCACACAAAATTCTAAATATTTTTCACACAATTTTTTTTTGAAGATGTCTAAATTACTCAACATTTTTTGACAAGAATTTATTTTTTGCTTTTCATTTAAGCTCAAAGAGTTGTATGAATCACTACCTATTGTTGTGGGTTTTTTTAAAGTTTCGATTGACATTTATTAGAAGGATTTTCTAAAATGAATTCCAAATTTGTGATTCTGATTTTTCTGACACTTTTATCCTATGGATCTGCTAAATGTAATGATTGTCAGAACGCTAATCTGACATTTCAACAGACTGTTGGTCCCTGGGAGCCTTTCACTAAAGATCAAACAACTGTGTAAGTTGTACAAATCAACTGTGTACTCGAAATCTAAATCTAAAGCTCAATAAATTAGTAGGTAAAACTTTTCAGTGTAATCAATTGCTCTATGCGAACCCTTCAATGCGATTCTTATTCTGTGGCACTTATCGATGTTTGTTTTTGGATTAAATATCATTGTATTGTATTTCCTGATGTATTTAAATAAACTCAAATCCATAGTTTTTAGATAAACAACGGTATTAAAGGAAAATATGGACTTTCAACGACTTCGATGAGTCTTCTCTGTAAAAATGGGCAATGGACTTACGATGGGAATGTTGTTACAACGATCGGTTGCAAGAATTGTGTCCTTGGCTTTTGTTGAGTGGGAAAGACAATAAAGTAATGATTAATTAAATTTATTTTAACAAGATAACACGATAAACAAACAACAACAAGTATTAGCAATAAAATAATCATTTATTTCTGCAGGTATTTGAGTGATGACATCGAGAATTGCAGAGTAGTCCCATCTGGTGGCATAAACAGCGATTCGAAGAGCATCCCCCGGAGCACATGCAATGTTTGTGTCCTGAGAAAACGCTTAAACAAGTTCAAAAAAAGTAAACACTAAACCTTGTCTTCCAGTTAAAGAAGCTTCACCAACTGCCGAGCGCATTGTAGTTTCACTAAAGAGAACTTCACTTAAGTCGCTAAATTATTAGTTCAGTACCTTTTTTCACTGATCAATAGCATTTTCCTTGCTTCTTCTTCGAGTCCAATTTTTGTTTTTTCTTCCGCCCGTTGAATTGATTTTCTATTGATGTCACCATTGTCTAAAAATAAACAACATTAGCTAGGCAAGTAGATTTGGACTTTAAATAAAAAAACTTAACTCGGAAATGTAAAAACAAACAAACTGCGAAGTTGGCTGCAATCTTTCCTCCATCGTTCCAAATGCGTCCCATCACCGGGCCTCCACGTCGATACCACGTATTGTTCCGAGC